AAAGTGAAAAGCGTTGCAATGAAAAACTTAAACTGAATCCTCTGAAAATATATTTAGATGATAGATTTCTGCGGCTGGAGGACAAACGTGCTGCTGTAAATAAAGCTGTAAACTTGAAGGGCTCTGGCATCTTTATCAATAAAATAAACTTTATTATTTGAAGTGGTGAAAAAAATCAAACTGGACAAATTGTGTACGATACATACAACAGTTAATGAGGGACACATAATAATAATAATTAGCACACACTAATAATATACTTTAAATATGAATAAGTAAACAAACCAACTTAGCAGGGACACAGACAATGAGACCGTGAACTCCACTCGTTTAAATGTGAAGGTGATTAGACTGAGAGGAGGCAGATATGATCCCAGAGATAGATCATTATTTCTTTGTCTTCTTAATGAGAAAGAGCGAGGGCTCATTTCACTGTTGCTTCAGCAAAACAAACAACTCGTCTGTGTTTATTACACTTCCTGCTTGAAGTGTTCCCTTTTTTCCTCTGATTCTTCTTTAGTCTGTCGTTGTTTTTCAAAGAGAAATTCTTTCCTTCGTTCTGAAGTGTATCCATCCTCTGATCCTTGGAGAGTCCGATAACTGTGATATGTCTTTGCTAATGTGCTGATTCAATTGTAGTATGTAAGCCTTTGCATTGTAGTGATCAGACTAAAAGGCCATTTCAGAGAGCCACATTCTTCATGCCCATGTTGACAGATGTATTGGTGAAAGTCTGCCCTAACCACCATTACTAGTGAAGTGTCCATTCCCAGTCCACTCAGAAGTTTAGGGGTTGATAGGAGTGACTTTTTCACAAAAGTCAAAGAAGTATGTTGATGTAGGAGATGTTTTGTTTTGATCTCTGTGGTTTAGTGATCTGAGACTAACTAGTAGCGTGTGTCCCAATGAGTAGGAGGTACTGCACACGGACATGTATGTAAACTAACTCAGTGTTCCTTTGGGACTGCTGTTGCAACAGTTAGAAGGCTAGTTCTGCTAACTCTCAACTGCTCATCCTACTGACAGAGCACTTTGCCTAACACTGACCATGTTCTTTCTTTGACACCATATCATTTCTAAATGTAACCAAACATTAAGCCAGAAATGTGTGACTGGCTCGAATTTAGGTTTAAACGGTTTTTGTACATAATCAACAGAGGTTACAGTGTTGATGCTCCAGAGATATCTACTGAAGTGAGCCTGAGAGGCAGCTGTTGGTGTGTGCTAAACATGTTTCCAATGACTGATGACTACGTTGTATGGAGGCAGTATTACAGTAGATAGGATACTGCCCCCTGTTTCTTTGGACCATACCGCCATGCTTAACACATTGTACCTTAGAGACAATGCATGTGTGAAAGGCACTGACAAATGATGTGCTGCTGATAGGGGTGTCAGATCCAACGATCCACAATGTGTCAGTCTGGATTTCAATTGAAAGGTATACTGGTTTTCATAGCTGCATATGCTTGAAAGATTAGAAAAAAGAGCTCTCTTCCGTGATGAAAACTCTAAAAGTGTAATTCCTTGAGATTTTTCTTTGGCTGCCGAACGTCCTAGATCAGAGTTCTTGTTCCTCTTTCCTTTGGGCTCACTTGAGATTTGCCTTTCCTCTTTGCTCTTTGTCGTTCCTCTCCCATGGGGAGCAGCTCTCCTCTTCTTCTGTGGTTAATGAACTCACAGGGACTACATGTAGTCACATTTGTCTGCTCTGCCATGTTGGCTGTGATCCGGCTGACTGGAGCTACACCAGGAGTTTCATCTTCATGTCACATCTGAGCGTGTTACTGCACAGTCTGGGAGTGTTTCTCTTCTCTTTAGCAGGAAGCTCTTCTTGTTACACTTTCTTTAAATGTAACTCTGACAAGAACAATTGGGATTTCACCTGTGAACACATTCAGTCTACATAGAAGTACAGAAAGAACAGCGAGAGACTTGAAAGTAAAAGAATACAACCGCAGAACTCAGGGTTCTCTCATGTTTGTGGATACGATTGATATTTGAATAAAGTTGAGGAATATACCATTTAAAATATCCATAGGCCTTTCAGTCACAAGACAACACATTATATTTATTTTGGTGGCATAGAGAAACAACACTTTAAAAAACAGAGTCTGTTTTCAAATCGCATGCTTTTCCTTTTTCCTTTCAGTACATCCTGCAGCTGCCCTTACAAAGTGTTTACTGTTGCATGCATTATGTACAATTAGGACACACTGCTTTGTTCTGACAGGGAGTGTGAGCTTTAAATAATTAAACAAAATGCCTCTTGAGGGCATGAAGTGACAAAAACGTTCAACATGTCTCCATTAAAGCCCATTGTAATTTCAGGCTGATATTTCCTCACAGCAGCAGCCGCACACCTTTAGTTAAACTGCCAAAAAGGCCACATTATTAACCCGAAAGTACACAAAACTTACACTTCAGATACTCAACTTCCTTTCCATGCTTCACGTTTTGAAATTTCACAGATATCTGTTATCGTTCTTCCACAAAACGTTCACATGTAAGAGGTTCATCTCTCATTCAGATCAATGCAAACCTTTGATCTCTGCACACCTCGTTAGCTCAAATATAATCTGAGATCTCACCATATGCCGTTTCCATGGAAACGCATCCCTCGCCATAAAAGACGATGTCGCTATAACTCCTATGAAAATGTTCAAGAAGTGCTCAAACTTCACATGTGTGCTAACAGTCCAGCCGTGAAGACATCTACGGGACATGCCGTTGCCATGGCAACACAATGCCCGCCATTAAACACGGTTTTCTCATAACTTCAGTGAAAATGCTCCAAACGGCCCAAAACTTCACAGGTTTGGTAACGATGCAGCCATCAACGCATCTAAGCTTATTATGGGATGTCATCAAATGCCGTTGGCATGGCGACAGATCATTCACCATCAAGTTAGTTCAAAAGTTTGCAGTTCAAATATTCTGCTGCTTTTCCAAGCCTTTTTACTTTCTTTTCTTCACTCATCACACATTCAAGCCCCCAGTGTTCATGTATCATTTCAATCTAAATTCTTCACTTTCTTCTTACACATTACATTTCAGCATAGCAGTTTAGCGTCAGCTTTTCAGCATAAAGCATTCCCACTAGCAATTTCTTCAGGAATTGCATTCTCTAGTTTATATAGTGCTTTTCAAGACACACAAAGAAGCGATATGCAGGCTCAACGCTTGAAGTTGTATTTTTCAAATATATTAAGTGTTTTTCTGTCTTTCCTTCTTTCCTTCCTCCCATCCCAATATCCATCTCTGACATCCCTCATCTCTTTCATCCTCTTTTTTTCTCCTTCCTCTTCCTCAGCCATGACTGCAGAGGCCTCCACCAACCCTCTGCTCCAGCAGCAGCCCCCCCCCCCAGCCGGTGGCTCCACTCCTCCCCGGGTCCTCTGCCCTGCCCGGGGACCATGTTCCTGGGGTCGTTGCCATCCCAGGGGCCCCTGCTGCTGCCGCCCCAGAGGAGGTCCAGACAGGAAGTGGGCGGACCATCCCCACAGCCTGCGTGCGGCCCACCCACCCCCTCCGGAGCTTCACCAACCCACTGCTGCCACCCCCCATGGGGACCATCGACCCAAAAGTGTACACCTCCATGCTGCCGCAGTCGAGTGAGTACATCTGATCACAAACAGACATAAAGACACAACACGCTTTCTTAAACCCACGCCTCTTTCTACGTGAAGTTACACAGCCTGGCAGCGTCTTTCGGTCCCCCGACCCAGTTTAGATTTGACCAAACCGGCTTCCGAATGACGAAAGCATCGACACAGCGTCAGTGTCACCGTTGGCGTTTTCATCACAAAATATATATTTTTCAAAGTACATTGATGGAAAGAGCTCTTCTTTTATATGAAAGAAGATCACAGTTATGCAGGGCTAGTTAATGTTAGTTAATATTTTTATATTAATTCACCATGGATTTATTGGTAATAAACTTGCAAACAATATGTAGCCTTCTTCCTTTTTTTTTTTTTCAGTGTTTGAGTAGATTCCAACACAGTCAGGTTATATTAAATATTATGCTTGCCCAGGACTGCATTCAGCCGCTCACCCCCCAGTCAAGTTGTCTCTAAGCGAAGGAAGGAGGAGGTGAGGGGCCGGTACTAGGAGAGAGGTGGTTAGCTAATTCTTTGTGTTCTAAAAAACAGCCCATATCGGGTTTTTCCCCAAGCTAGAGTAGAAATGATATAAGCTCAGCATTGTTACCATGGGGACAGAGTCGTGCGGAGCTTAGTTGATGCAGAAGTGGGCTTGGTTTAATCTAAACTGAGTTGGAAAAACGATAGATGCAACCTGGAAAATCATGGTATAAAGAGACATATCGTTACATACAAATAACGTGATGAGACATGAAATGAAAAAACATCAGCAGAATGATTCAAGAGAGGATTGTGATAATTCATCATGCTGTCGACTAAAGTGTTGAATTGTTCTTTCCTTTAGACTCATGTAACATTTGATATCATAATTAACAAACATCTGCTGAGACAGGGATGTAAGAAAGGGATCTTACAGACATGTGTCATTATGATATTACAGCACAAACACACCATAACACTTTGCAGCTGAGTACAGTTTCTCATATTTTTCATCTGATTGCAATTTCTCATGTGGCAGAGGAACGTTTGTGTGCTTGAGGCCGTGCGTGGGTTGAGATGTGGAGAGTGTCCTTTCTATCCAACCCACAAATACAGAGGAAAGGGAAAAATGGAAGCATAAGATTTGGGACAGTAAAACATAATTTGTTTATTCATTTCTATAATTTATTTTATTTTTTCAAGAACCAACAGTGATTGCATTCTGTCACTGCCTCTCAAAACTAATTGAGCAGACCCGATATAAAGCACTTTCATATTTTACTGTAACTCTTAGCACTGATCATATGAATGGGCTTGGTTTAGCAATGAGACGTATTCACAAAGGGGCTAATTTTGTGCCAAATGTATACATATTATCTCATTTAAGTATTCAAAAACAGCCCAGGAGCAGCGAGGCAGTGTTTCACCTTTTGAAAAGCTTTGAGAATTACACAGTTTCCTTTTTGCCTTCTGTGTGCGAGGTAGAAACCACAGCCATGCACTGATTTGTTCATTCTCCCTTTTGGTTTGATCATGTATAAGTATTACATTCTTATTTATTTATGTCTTTACTATCAATTTTACTATCAATTTTGACGGAACCCCCCCTTCCTAAACATGCCCACATTGCTATTTCATATGTCCTGCTCGTTCCATGAAGTATTAAAAGCCTGGCCTCACTCCTCTGCTTAGGGAAAAACAAGTGAATACATGTGGTTCACCCCTATTGACCACAAAACTGTATTTTCTTCTTAAATTCAGTGTCAATTCCTGAAGCCGCACTTTGTTTGCTGTTTGTCAGACTCTTTGTTTAAGCTCCGAGGCTGCACTTTGTTTCATATTTTATTCAGGGAAGCTAAATGTGATAGCCTCGGGCTGCTGTGTGTGTGTGTGTGTGTGTGTGTGTGTGTGTGTGTGTGTGTGTGTGTGTGTGTGTGTGTGTGTGTGTGTGTGTGTGTGTGTGTGTGTGTGTGTGTGTGTGTGTGTGTGTGTGGGTGGGTGGATGTGCGCGTGTGTTCCTGAGGCAGTGTACTGTAACTGGCCTTGACATTAGCCGGGGGTTGGATGTGATCTGCACTCCCCCCCCCCCCCCTCTGCTGTCTCTCCCTCTGTTACCTGTCTGTCCGCCACTCCCTCTCTCTTTCTGTTAGACAGCCACAGTATTTGACAAACCAAGCCGTTCCCATGACCATCAGACTCTCCTCAGATGTCTTTGGAATATTTGAGCTCTGCTTCAGGCTCCATGATGGCAGTCTGCACAACTTCCTACTGAAACATTGTGACAAACATCACTTGATCAAATAGTCACGGTGCACAGAGGATATCCTTACCTCTCTCTATTTATTTTCATCTATTATGTAACTATTATGTTTTATTTATTTTATTAATTATTAGCATCATGGTGAAAGTCCATCTCTCTGATACTTTAGTTACAGATGAAAGCAGTCCTCTGAACGTATGTTGGAGAAGCAATTAACCAATCAGAGCTTGAGGATTCTGTTAGCCAATTACTGAGCTTTGACACCAAATACCAGTCAATCAGACTCAAAACGACTTTCTTATGAATATGTATTTCATTCTCTTTAAATTCATTTAAGAAACCTGGGGCGATCCAGTACATTGTGTTGTCCCAGGTTGTTGTACTGTTTATATTTCCATGAATCCCAGCTTAAAGTATATTAGTAAGTTATTGTTCCACAGTGAGGGTAGAAAATAAAACCTTAGAGGGATAGCGCAATCCTTCTAAAGATATTTCTTTATTACCTTTGTAAGAGCCAGTCTTTAGTTTTTGTAAAAAAGGCCAAATATTGTCACCTATCCTGACCTCTGTAGGCAAAGAAGTATAAAAGACTACATTTCCCACAGCGCCAGCCTCTATAGAGACGCAGAGATGGGCATCCTGTGTGGAAGACGCCGCTGAGACACAGTTTGAATCGTTAAGTTAACATTAAAGTGATATAAGCCTACACAAAGAAAGAGAGAGAGACGAGCTAATTTGATAGTTATCTTATTTGAGTTTTTCCTCTTTTGTTTTGATTAGTTTGACTATTTTAAAAGGCCTATTTCCCTGTTGAATGTATGACAAGATGATTATTTTATTTTGATTAAACGCAAGTCACAGAATATTAACATATCATCGGAAGGCAAACAATTAATCAAAACTGTAAGTAAAACTAATAAAGTAAAGATAACGCGTTAGAACTGATTAAGGTGTCGAGTTGAAACAAAGGAAGGAAGCCAGGAGACCCTCTTTGTCTTCTTTTCTTTACTGTGTGTCTGTGTCTTTCCCTTATCTCTCTCTCTCCCTCTCATCCCCTCATCTCTCTCTGATCACCTGCAGCAGTGTGAGCAGGAAACAAAACTCTCCTATAGGTCATATCAGCTCTGGACAGTATGTGTGTGGAGGAGTCTATGTTGTGTGCTCCTTCTTTCTGTAGGTGTGTATCACCTCTGTGTGTGTGTGTGTGTGTGTGTGTGTGTGTGTGTGTGTGTGGTGTGTGTGTGTGTGTGTGTGTGTGTGTGTGTGTGTGTGTGTGTGTGTGTGTGTGTGTGTGTGTGTGTGTGTGTGTGTGTGTGTGTGTGTGTATACTTCCATTATGGTTCTGTTTACACGCCCAGGTGGCCTCAGATTAACATTGATTTTCAGCTAGTAGAAACCTTTTGCTCAGAAATAGCAAGCCTGCGGCGACGCTCAGCTTGACTTCCAGATAACCCCCCCTCATCCTGTGACCCCCCCGGGGGGGCCAACACACAGCCTCAGAGCCAACCCCCTCCCCGCCTCTCTCAAGGAGGAGAAAACGCGAGTTGTGTGCGATGGCGTTTGATGTTCAGTGTTGCTCTTGTTTGTGTGTTTATCCAGGCCTGAACGACTCCCTGGGAGGAAGAATGAGATGTTTGCTGTGTTTAACACTAGAACCACCAGGGGTCGCTGTATACCTAAAACCGCCAACGGGTCAAATGTACCCGCTATTAGAATGCATTGATTTTCAAGGTACAATGTTCTTTTATTTATCATACTAGAACACAGGGTTAACAGTGAGTTTTGATCACACATTCTATTATACCAATAGAATCTGTGGACTCTCAGCTTTTCATATTTTTATACTTCATGCAGATTGCATGAAGTATAAAAGATCGCTACCGTGAGTTATGTGTCTCTCTATCTCTCTCTCTATCTATCTATCTATAACTATCTATCTCTCTATCTCTCTCTCTATCTATCTATCTATAACTATCTATCTCTCTATCTCTCTCTCTCTCTCTCTCTCTCTCTCTCTATCTATCTATAACTATCTATCTCTCTCTCTCTCTCTCTCTCTCTCTCTCTCTCTCTCTCTCTCTCTATCTATCTATAACTATCTCTCTCTCTATCTCTCTATCTATATATCTCTCTATCTATAAGGAACCGCAGTAAACAACAGGCGTTGCTATAGCAACACGTCATGTTTATGTTTTCGCGCGAGATCAATAGTGTGAAAATCACTGCATTTTCTATAAGGTAAATATTACCCGCTGGCGCTGATGGGTATAAATGGCCATTTTTAGGGCCATTTTTTCAATCTGACTTCATATTGACAATTTGACAACAGAGCGTGCTACATAACAGACTTTCAGGAAAAGTCACGGACTGGGAGACTTGAATATTTTATTGAAAAGAAGTTACATACAATCATGAAACAGCTGCGGGTAAAATGTACCCGTTGGCGGTTCTAGTGTTAATTGGATTGTTGTATTGAGATGGAGGGAGGTTGATGCCCCAGTTTGTAAGATGAGAGAGGTGTACCTGCTCCACAAGTTTAGCCGTTACATTTGTTGTTAGTGAACATACTTGCTAAATGATTAAAGGCATTGTTTTTTCATTTGTCTTCTAAAATAATAGTTTGGCTCTGTTGAGGCCTCTCACTCACTCAGTGAATGTTGGGGTCAATTCAGGATCAGAATCAGGTTTATTCTCAGGTAGGTTTACACATATGAGGATTTGCGTGTAAGAAAAGGACCATAGAATAAAACAAGGATTTAAAAAATATATG